TGACTATCTTCTCCCCTTTGTCAAAGGCCCTCCACCCTGCCGGCCAAGGCAATCTTATCTACTTCCTTAGCTTTGTTGTCACTGTTAATTCCCAAATCTGTAACACATGTGGTGTCAAAGGTCTAGCCTCCCCTTCCACTGGGCCTACTCTCTCACATAGACCACTGGCACTAGGACCCTGACCCTGCATGTGCTCCCACTAGAACCACCCCTCACACCTCCAAACCTTCTTCTGGGTACACAGATTGGATCCTCTTACTGGTCCTCCCTTGAGGCCAGAAATCTTTCACTCTCCCCTTTTCCTTATTCCCCACGTCCAAGTTACTGTTTCATCCTTTTGATACTATCTTTGAAGTTTTTCCTTTTCCATTCCTCCCACGAGTGTCCCTCTCCCAGTTCTATGAGCAACCCTCAGGGCTATAGCACCAGCTTCCTAACTAGTGACCCTACTCACATTCATTCCTCAAATTCCAACAGTCTCCACATGGGAGGCCGTGAGCCCTCTCATATACACAGTTACCCCATTCACTTCCTGTATCTCCTCCAAGCTACTACTCATTATCCCACAAGTATTTATTCACCACCTGTGAAGTACAAGTATTGTTTTGAGAACTGGCAATATGGCAGAGAACGAAACAATGTTCTGCCTTCATGGAGCTACTAGTCTGAGATAAAGGCATGGCTTGGCAGGGCCTACCACAAACTCTTGCTTGCCTCCTGGTCTGCTGGCTTACAGATAATTATACCTAATTTGCTGTTCTTCTGCTTCAGGCTCCTTGCATTTGCCTGGGGTCTTCTGGGACTATCTCCTCCCCACGTCTGTTCTCCTTGGCCAGATCACCCACATTCAGTTCATCTGGTGTACTTTACAGAGGTGATTTCCAGGATAACCCAGTCCCAAATCTTAGCTCTGTGCACACTATCTTGCTGCAGATATTGTCTTAAAATGGAAACAATGATACATACCATATAGATTGGTTGTGAAAATTAAGTTCAGCCCATAAAAAAAGCTTAGATACTTTAGGTGCATGGCAAATGGTAAGCCTATAATAAACATTAACTGTCATTACTTTTATTTTCGTTTGGTTATTGTTATATTGTTATTGTACCACTCATCTCACTGTTTTGCAATTATCTCCCCTATTAAGCATACCTTATTGTCTTTGTACCCTAGTGACTAACCTAACTCAGCACATAGTAGGGAGTTACTAAGTAAGTGTTGAGGGAAAGATAGAAGATCAGCTGATTTGGGTCTATGGCTTGGGTTTCCCGTGACAAGCAGGATTGTGGAGGAATAACAACCTCAAAGGCTCCCACTGCTATCTTTTTGACCAAGTATCTAATTGTGTACTGTTCTCATTGTGTGCACAAGAGCTGCAAAGGATTGAGCAAGAATGGAGAATTAAGTTGGGTTGAACCAAACTGGAGACAAACTATTTACATTCCTTTATTCATTGACTCATGGGGTCAAGACTCAGACCCTGCAATGACTACCCTAAAGCAGCCATTACCTTCAACCCCCGCCCTTTGCCCCACTGCATACCTTCCATTTGCCCTGGCTCCACACTACCATGCTCCCCTCAAAAATGTTTCAACTGAAGCCCAGGAAGCAAAAGGAGTGCTTCAGGAAAAGGGGAAGGGGTGGAGAGGGGTTAGCACCTCCCTTCTTCCTTTGCTGAGATCAAAGCTAGTGTGTTCCCTTGAAGGTCGGCTAGCCCCTTTCATCTCCTGCCCCACCTGCCTGGATGGGACTACAGTGTGCCCATTTCCTTTTCTCCTGGAGCTGGAGAGCAGCTCCAGGGTGGAGCCATGAGCTATTTCTAGTGCTAACCAAATCCCTCCACCTCAACATCTTTTCTGCATAACCATGATCATGTTTCCTTTCCCCCTCAACAATTAGTGACAAGTCACAAGAAACTATGAGAAGTCAGTTTCTCGGCTGGCCCTAGGCTAACCCAATGGCTGAAGCAAGTGGGGAGGCCAGAAGGCTTGGTCTGGAAGAAGAAACAGGCTCTTCTTTCTACATCTCAGCCCTGAGCAGAGCTTTGCCCCACATTCCTCAGAGAATAGAGGGGACATGGTTAAGCAAGGGCCTCTTGCCCCCAGGAGAGAAGAATTAACATTTATCAGAGCCCTACTATATCCCAGGCTCCAAGTTAGGGACTTTGATAGATATTATCTCCTAACAGCCCAAACAGGTCAGCATTTATCATCCCTGGGGTGGAAATGACGAAACAGAGATTAACAAGCTTACCCCAGGCACACAGCTAAATCCAGGCGCCAAATTCCAGCTGTCCCTGACCCCAACACCGGTGCTCTTTCCACTCTGTCACGTTGCCTCCAAAGCTCAGGGAAGCTGTTTGTGCTAAGGTGATTCTGAATTATTCCACACAATTAACCAGACAGCTAGCTAAACCTTTGGCAAATTAACCTAATTCAACATACATTTAAGCAAAAACTGTGATGACTTGAGTTTGACTCTGTGGACTATGCAAAGAGAACATAACAGAGTTTGTAGTCTAGCAGAGAGCATATAACAAGTGTTACTGAGAACACGGGAACAGGGGCTTTAAATACAGCCTATAGTTTCACTTGGCCTCACCCAAGCAAAGCCTCCAAGACTGGAAGCAGCCAGCTGCCATGCATAACTGGCTTCCAACACAGGGACTTTCTTAAACCATCTGAGTCCCCCTAGGCCAAGAATAGTGCAACTTAGCAGAACGTGAGAAAAAGCATATTTGATTGGCTAAGGTGGAGGGAAGCTTGGGAACCCAGTCTTGGCTGTTACCTGTAGTCAGTCTGCTTCAGCAAAGAATGGGTGTTTTGATGACTTTGTCCAATGTGTGGCTCAATCAGTTAAAGCCAGGTGCAAATGAAGCCAGGATAAGTGGCTTAATCCTAGTAGAGCTGTTTTGTCACATGGCAGGCAGTTCTGGCCCCAGCTGACCAAGTGGTTAGCAGCCCTGTGCTCTTTGCTAAAGGGGACTAAAGTAGGAAAGTGTGGGCAATCACATAGTAGGCGTTCAAGTGAGAACGTGATGTTCCAAACCCTTGGCTCCAGACAAACAGCTTACAGCATGCCTTTCTGACCAAGGGTCTGTAGTGTCATGTCGGCTTTGCACGTGGAGACAGCAGCAATTCCTTTTATATCTCAGCTAGGCACCCTGCCTCATATTTTTATAGTACTGTGATGCCAAGGGTGTGGGTCTCCCCCAAAGAGCTGCTTTGATGCAGCTGCCTGTATTCTGTGGCTCTAAGCCTGTCTTTCTATTCCCATGAGATGAGCACATCATTTGACACTTCTCAGGAGAAGAGGCCACCACACCTGTTTGAAGCCTTCTCTTCTACAACTTGAACTGTGGGGCCCTCCTTGGCTAAAAATAAATGTTTCTCAAGTTTCTTCAGCCATGGTGGGGGTGGGTTCTGGATGCCCCCCCAGGTAACCCTGTTTTTCTGTTTCATACAGGGATTTGATAGAGACAATTCCTACTCAGGGTAGCTTCCATCTCCATAATTTAGGGTATGAGGAATTGCAGGGAATCACAGAGTAATACCTCTGGCAGGACTAAGTGCCTGTCCCTTTCTGGGTCAATTCATATGTGTGGCATGAGAAGCACTGGCACAATCTTGGGGATTTTCCTTTAAATTAAACACGTAGGATCTTCTTTCGTGGTATGCAAAAGCTATCTCCCCATGAAATCAATCTCATGGATTTCACAAAGACATGTTAGAATCTCTAGATTGTTCCACAACATCTCCCATGGTGCCAGGTGTATGTACATCCAGACTCCTAATGAGGATAATGTAAATGCCAGTAGCAATAACTTTGGGTTCTTTGAGTGGCATCAAAGTCACGGCATAGCAAGATCCCTGTTTTCATGCCTGCTATACTGTTTGAGGTTTTGTTTTATTTTGTTTTCAGGGAATTTAGATTCCCTGGTTTACTTACAACCTAACAATGTCACTATTGAAACACATTGTGTTAAGGACCATATGCTCTCTCTCCAGAGAGTGCATACAAATACTATTTCTGTAAAAAACAAACAAAAAAAACAGAAATCATAGCTTTGCATATTTCCCATCCAAAGACTGATCCCATTTGAATGATTCCCTTTGTCACAGAATGTTTTTCCCCAAGTGGGCCCTAATAGAAGCTAAAGCAGATATCGTGACTTACCAAAGGTCACAAGGAGTCATCTAGTGAGCTAGAAATAGAATTCACAAGCCTTTATTTTGATTCCTTGAATTTAAAAACATAAATTTCACTATATAGAAATGAAAACTTTCATTGAGTCTTAGACTCATTTGCCATTCCTGGAGCAGGGAATCCAAGGCAACAGAAGCTAATGGGCTATGAGGCCAAGAGATTAATAAAATCCAGGGACCGCCTGTCTTCAGAGAACTCCTGTCCAGTGGAGAGAAAAGAGGTAGTCACTGCTGAAAAGTATCTATCCAGTGCTTATGAATCCCTAGAGGACCCTTCCTGCAGCTGGCACTGTGACCTGCACATGACATGCAAGCACTGTCTATCTGAATGGGGGCCATAAGAGAGGCACCGGCAGAATGCTGTGGAGGTGGGCAGAGAGCGAAGGACAGCTTTGTGAAGGAGGTGACATTTGAGCTGTGCAGCATGGATTGGGAGTACAGGAAAGCAATGAGTTCTGAGTAAGAACAAAGCCTGGAGGGAGCTCAGTGGGCTAGCATGCTACAGGGGGCGTGAAGAGCTATGGTCAGAGCAAAAAGGCTGAAGCCCAAGCAGAGGGACCCTTGACATCAAGCTCCCAAATTTCACAGTAGCCATCACTGAAGGTCTGAATGAGTGAGCATAGTGATGCCACCAGGGCAGAGCTTCCTGCCACATCATGTCCCTCTGCCTTTGGAGGCTGCCCTGGCCTTGTCAGGAATGGTGAGTTTCTTTTGATTGTCCTGTTTGTATGTGGTTTTGTTTGGAAGTTTTATATGGTTTTGTTTGTTTTTTGGCCTTTCTCTTTTCCTTACAGTTTTTCACAGCATATGGTCCTGATTATGTGCTGGAAATCACGCCAAGCTGCCGGCCAGACCGCAATGAGCCCCACCGAATCCAGCAAATCCTCAACTACATCAAAGGTGAGCGCCACCCTCCAGCCCTGCCCTCCTTATTCCACCCAGTGTGTGGTGGCCTGCTGCTGGGGGCTTCCTCAAATCCCATTTGTCTTTTGGCAGCTAATCATTTCACTAACTTGGAAAGGAAACTTCTTTTTGGCCTGACATCTTGTAGCCAGAATTCTATACAAGTCACCCTGGTTGAGATTGTCACTTGGCTGGCTAATGTCACCTTCAGAAGAACAAAAGGTTCAGCTTTAAGGCACTTCCAGGGGAAAATCAGTTCTACAATATTCGGGAGAGCCTTTTTCTTTGAAAAGGCTAATAGTAAAACCATCTTTAAGAGCTAGGGTGTGTGGCTCAGTGGTAGCGCATTTGCTTACCACTCCATCTCCAACACTGTGAAAAAGCAAAGCAAAACAGAAAACCTTTTTAAGTTTAAGGAAGTTCAAGTGAATTTAGACTCAAGAGACTGGGATATGGAAGGGATTTCTCCCCCAGACATTCTCTTGCAGCATGGACTAAGAGAGTACTACAAGTCTATGGAAGTTCAGTGATTAATCAGGGATTTTGATGTTCTTGAAGGGGGCTCCAGCATTACTATTAGAACCCAGGAGTAGAGCTACCACCCTCTACCCCTCCCCCAAGTTATTTCATTCCCAGGATGGAGAGGAATGGTAGTCATGGCTGTACAGTCCACTAGCTCTTTGGGGTCCTCCCCTCAGCTTTCCATTAGAGCTCCCCTCACAGCCTCCCAGTTGCTTCTTTAAGTGTCACTTCTCATTTATCATTTGTTTTAAGTATTTAGAGCAATCATTTTCCTGTTAACAGAGAGAGGGAGGGAGGGGGGAGAGAGAGAGAGTTTGGATCCCTATTTGCAGACTTAGGAAGCCAAAAGATATCACATTGCCTGTCCCCAACAGTGAAATTCTCTTGTTTATTCATAAAATCACAAAATGGTGCCAGATCTCCCACTTTTGACTCCTCCCTGGAGTGTAACCCTGTCTGGAAAGAGGCCTGCTCAAGGCTGTGGTTTGTCTAAGAGAGTGTGCAGTATTCCGAGGGTCTTCGCGCAGTGCACTTGATGACAACACAAAACCTGTGGTAAGGACTGTATTTCCTGGGCTCCTTTGACCTGAGAACATTTTCTATGATAGTTGCACTCACAGCTCATTGCCTCTTGTAAGGTCCTGTAACCCAACCTTCTTCTGCCTCTAATGTTTCAAATCACCTTCCTCTGATCTCCCAAGGACTACCAGCTCTACAAGTCCTCACTTTCTAGCGACTCTTCCTCCCTTCTGCACTCTTTAAGACCTCTAAAATCCTTCTGTCACTGGCTCTTCTCACTGTGCTACAATCTGGATGGAGATTGGAGATCTACACCTTTATCCTGGCTCTTCTCCGGTCCAGAAAACAGTCCCCATTTCCCTGAGATCGAATCTGGACCAGTTTTTCTTGTCATTCTGTCTCCTACCTTACCATTTTCCCATCCAGGCTCTGAATTCTGGGGGCAGCAGATAAAGCACTAAAAACAGAAAGCACACACACCTCTACAGTGCCTGCTCCTATCTCATGTGTGCATGTGTGTGTCTGTCCTTGCCTCCCTGCACACATTCCAAGGCACGTCACTCCAGACAGTGGTGACATTTGCTGTTGGGGGAATGAAATGGCAAAAAAGAGACGATGTGAGAAAGGTAATGCAGAGGGAAATGAGCTAGAAAAGAAATCTGAGTGAACAGTAAGTGAGGGTGACTCAAGATAAAAAGTGATGCTGAGGGTTAGTTAAAACAAAAATAATATAATACACCCCAGAGGACATGGAAGTCAAGTTTTGTAAGTGTATTAGCAGATAAAAGCAATATTGGGATAGTAACATAATGGATTTCAGTGGGGAGAAAACATGTGATCCAGGAACTGGGTTCCCAAAAGGGACTTCGTGCAAGCAAACTGACATGTGGCTTAACAGCATTTTGTCTAAAAGAAAATTAGAGACAGTAGTTGACACAGAGTTCAGTATGAGTCACCGGGTCAAGGTGGCCTCCAGAGATGCTAATGCAGTATCGACCTCACTTTAAAAGGGCTCTAGACAAATAGGAACATGTTGCAGAAGGTCAGCCAGTCTGGGGAAGCACTGGAGCCCAAGCTCCAAGAGGTCTGCTTAGAGGACCTGGGGCTCTCTGGAGAAGAGAAAACTCAGGGGACATGAGCCCTGCCTCATTTCTCTGTGAGGCTATCACAGAACAGGACAGGGTCTATCTGATTGTAGGGTACAGGGGGTGGACTCATGGATGGCTGTCATAAAAGGACTGATTTTCCTTCAGTAGGAGGAGGAGTTTGTAACAATTAGACCTGTCCAAAGTGGAACGAGCTGGTGACCAAAAGAGAATGAAAACTGTAATTAGAGATGGAGAAAGGGGAGTAGAGGATCACTTGGCTAGAAGGGCCCCTGCCTTGGGAAAGGATTGCTTCCAGTGCTAAGATCTAGAACACTCTATACTGCAATGAGAGTACAGAGAGAATGAAAAGGATCTAGTGATGTCTTAGGTTGGCTGATGAGTCACCTTTGGGGTTGGGAAGGAATGCTGAGTGTAAGAAAGAACTGAAATGGAGAAAAAGAGAAGGGAAGTCAGTAAGAATGGGTGACAAGGAGCCAGGAGGGTGGGAAGTAAGGACAGTGAATTACTAGAAATGGTCAGATTTTTCCATTCACTGTTCCTCTTACAGAGTCTTTGTGTCCCTAGCCACGCAAATTAACAAAGCACATGAGTCCAGAACTGAAAGGAAAACTCAGCTCAACCTAGAAGAACTGAGGCTAGAAAGAAGTCCAAATGCTGTTGAAAATGGCCAAGCTAACCTGCTGTACTGATACTGTGCCCCTCAGCCTAGTGACGCAGGCTGCCATCAGATAGTGTGTTGCCATGACAATGGTCAGTGTGGAAAGGCTTCTGAGTTCTCTGTATTCTGAAAGATTTCCTTAACCTGTCTTCAAGACTGTCATTTGTTCTCACATATAAAACACCCCTGTGACGCTGGCTAATCCTCTCCCATCCCATTAAACCCAAGAGCAGGGTGCGGGTCACAGGTTGTTTAGGGAAGGTGAGAGAGCTTGGAGGGAGTAGACTGATTCAGCCCCTGTACAAGGGAGTTTATTCCCAGCATGTGTATCTAGTCAAATTGGTTCAGCCTTGGGTTTTTTGTTTTGATTTGGTGGGGTGTTTTTTCTGTTTTCTCACTACATCCCTTAGAAACATAAATAATGAGATTTTAGCCTATTGAAAATCAAACCCCAGAAGATTCCTCTTACAGAGTTACGTGCATTCTACATGCCACAGGAAAACTAAAGGCAGAGGCAAATGTGTATTTCACCTAGCCCATCTTTTCTGCCCATCAGTTTTAATGAATGAAGGGGGGGACAAAAATAAAAACACAGAGAGGCAATTTAAGCTACTTACTTTAGACACAGAAAAGGTCTGTTTTCTGGTCCTTCTTGTGCCAGCGAACTATCCTAAAGGTACATTTCATTGCTTGCAAGAAAGCCCACATTAGAGAATGCATGGCTGAACATAGTTCATGGCTGCTAGTGGGAAATCATCCTTGCCCCATCTCCACATGCTTGGAGTTGTTTGCCTTTCCTCTGGTTAACATACTCCAGAGGAATTAGCTCATAGTGAACCTTCCAGAGTTGGAACAGTGCTGATGTGATCAATCCCCAGAGGGGCCCAGCTAGCTCTGAATGGGGAAATGGGGGAGAGGTAGGAGGTTTGCTGTGCTGTAATACCAATGATATTTGAAGCAAGTAGGGACCACCTGGGGCTCTAAGCTTCGTGTTTCAGCCAGATTCAACCCTTGGCAAAGAGGGGAGGGTGCACTGTGCACTTGTATGTGGTGGAATTAAAACTGGAGGTTTCAACACATGCTTAGGGTTCCCAGAACTTGTCCTGGGATCCAGAAAAAAATGAGTGTGATCAAAAGAAAAGGAGGAAGAAGGGGAGAGGAGTGATCAAGAGGGAAGAACAAGGCCGTGATACTCCTGCCCTTTGCAGTCCTTGCTAAAGAGAGCTGACAATGCAGCAGCCTCTACAGGGCAGGCTGGGGAGGGACCAGCAGCCTGGTGTGGGGGGAGACGGCACAGGTGAACTAATAAGACAATGGCTACTATGCCTCTCCTCTAGGTGAAAAACTAAGGCTCAGAGAGAAAGTAAGTGGCTTAGCCAAGGTCCCCTTCCTTCATTCAGCAAGTTCTTACTACCCGTTTACAGTGGGAGTCACACTATGCTATGAGGGGTAGGGCCGACATTTGAACCTGGCTCTAAGTGGGAACTTCGAAGTCAGTCTCTGGCCTTTTTGGTTCCCCTGTCAAATCACCATCCATATGTGCTTTATCCAGTGGCCCCGCCCCCAGTAAACCCTCCTCACCCCACACTGCTCACCCTGCTCCTTCCACGTAGCTGATCCAAAGCACCCGAAATCTCTCGTGTGTGCCTGAAAACAAGAAGAAAATGTCCGTGAGCAACCCCTAAAGTTCTGGCCCCGGAGCCATGCCTTTTAGTGTTCCCCAGACCTCCTCCCACACCACGTTTCTTCCATCAGCCCCACCAAACTGAAGTCTGGAGCTTTGAACTCCATTCTGAACTAGACAGAGTAGGGCGGCGGAGGGGGGTGCTAGTTCCTCATCTCCTGCCACCTCCAGTGTGCTATGGCCACCAGCTCTAGTCTGCTATTTACAGTTCCACGGCCCCATGCTGAGACCCTTTGCACATCTGCTGCTAATATTCTTGGGAGAACTGTTATGTGGGGGGATGGAGGAAAACGTACCCCCTGTTGCAGCCTGAAGTCTGGAGGTAGTATTCTTCTATGGGTTAGCAAAGAGGCTAGGACTTCAAGGACTGCTGGAGCCCTAAGCCCAAGGCACTTGTACTCTGCCTGAAGAGACACTACCCCCATGGAAACAAGGCTTCCCCACACACCCATTCTTGCTGTCTGAGGAGAAGCATGAAGAGGGCTTGGGAGGCACAGTTGACCCCGAGGACAGACTGAACAGTTGCTTTCCAGCTTCTTGGAAGGACTTTGGAACAGGATTGGGGTGGAAATCCTGAGCCAGTTTGCAGGGCTTTGAGTAAAGATCTCTGAGACATCTAAGCCTTATCTCCCTTTCCTGCTCCCTGCCCTGTTTGTACCCCTCCCCCACCCCCTCTGTTCTCCAGAAACTGGCCACCTGCTTGCACTTTCCCACTGAGCAGACTCCTATCCTTACTTCACTAAAGAGTTTAAGAAATGGAAAGGTTTGCTATGGTTTTTGTTGCGAAACAAGTTACAAAAATGCCATGTTAAAATTTTCAAATTCTAAGAAAAAGGAGGCTATTCCCCAAAAGTTACAGCTTAAATTAGCAGCTTAAATTTAATATGCCATGAAATCTTCATTTGCAGATTACCTATGAAAACTGGAAATTTCTACCTAAAACCATGAAGGAAGAACTAACTGCAAGTGTACCACACACTCGCTGTGCTGGGTACTTCACATATACCATCTCATGTATGTAGAAGACTGGTAACCGCCAGTTACATAACACAAAGCAGTTAACTCCAGATTTGATCCAGGCCTGATGGCTGGCCTCCACTTTAATAGCAGTGTCTTGTTGTGCCTACTAAACATCTCCCACCTGCTTTTTCCTATCGCTCTTTATAATCCCTTCCTACCCTTCATGGGCTCCCAAAATGCATTCTGAATCAGTTAAATTTTAAAGCGCACTTTAAAGCTCAACTCCATCAAGTTATTTCTGAACCTCCCACGTGTCTGGTGTCATGAGCTCTAGGAGTGGCTGAAAGACATGATCTCTGCTTCCAGTGAATAATGGAGAAATCTGGATGAAAGCACAAAACTGAACCCCCTTGGATGGATGAGGAGACTGTGTGGGGCTGACACTGCGTAGAAGCAACTGGAGGATTTGACTAGAGCAGAGCCGAGGTGTGAATGGTCTGCAAGGGAATCTCAGAGCCATGATAGCAGAGCTGACTGGACTGAATTGCAGATTGAATAGATCACATACAAAAAAGTGGAGGCCTCCTAGATTCTGGAATTTGAATATAACGTGACATAGTGATGTTTGAAATGGCTCATGATGGTGTAGTCTAAAAGTGAGCACCTGTATGAACCCAGACTAAAACTGAGAAGGGCTATGTAAAGAGTGTCAGCAGCCCTTGGAGGTAGGTCATTTATAGAGAGGATCAAGGATAAGGGAAGAAGGAAAGTGAGTCTGGGATTTCCTAAGTAGACATAAGCTAGGACCTGGAAGCTGCCAGTGGAAGGGGCCTACACACACCCACGCTTAAAATACCTTATTCTGTTCATAACATTTTCTGTTTCAATATACTGAATTTGAGGCATAATGTTAATTCTGTCTAGTATTTTTATGTGGAAAAAATTGTTACAGTCAACTACAAAGAATTTTTTGGAAACACTTTGGTAAGGCAAGTATTACATGTTAAATAAAAAAATCACAAAATAATTTAAGGCCACAGAGTCTCAATTATACAAATATATGTAATGAATGTGTGAGTATGTGGCTATGCACAGAAAAACATTCCAAAGAAATGATAGCAGTAGTTATCTTCAGTGATAACTTTTTTGAGACAGTGTTTCACTGTGTAGCACAGGCCGACCTCAAACTCATGATCCTCCTGCCTCAGCCTCCTCAGTGTTAGGATTACAGGCAAGTGCCACAGTGTGCAGCTACCTTCATCTTCAATGATATTTCGCCAAAGCACTTTAACAGTCATTACCAAGCATTAAAATTATGGGTAATTTTTCTTTCATTTTCATTCTTTTCTATATTTTTCCAAGTTTCTAGCATGAATATATATTGTTTCATAGTCAGAAAAAGTAACATGTTTTTTGTTTAAAGAAAACGACCATGGGAAAAGGAGGGAGGGAGCTCAGTAGCAGAGCAGTTCTGTCCAAAAAGTCAGCAAAAACTTCAGTCCTTAGTTTTAGATCTTCTTTTCTAATCCCAGATTATAAAATATGGCTACCACCCTACAGGCCATTTCAAAAATGGGCTAGGGGGTGAGTATTTTAAATGTTTCAGGTGCCATTTTCTCTAGGAATTCTAGGGTGCTCCATCTATCTTGAAAACCAGATCATCCTTTGTCTTACAGTGTAAAGCCTCTTTTGTCCTGCAAAAGGGTAGAAAATCCAATGTTTCCTTTTCCAAAATTCCCGTACCCTCTAAAGCAGCTCTTCTAGTCTCTCTGGGTTTTATCTTCTGTTCCACTGATCTGTGAGTCTATCCCTCAATGGTCATGAGTACCATGGCTATATAATAAGTCCTGGAATCAGGTAGAATGATTCCTCATAGTTTCTTCTTTTCAAAATCATTTTAGGTAAAGGCCAGATGTTGTGGTGTACACCTGCAACCCGAGCACTGCTGAGGCTGAGGCAGGAGTGTTGATGATACAGTGCCAGCATTTGCTACAAAGTAAGACCACATCTCAACAATGAAATTCCTTAGGGTTGATCAAATGTCTCAGTAGGTTAAGATTGTTGCCACTGAGCTTGATGACCTGAATTCATCCCTGTGACCCACAGGTCTACCGAAATGGATGACTGTCTCCTACAAGTAATCCTGACCTCCACGAACACATATATCATGCATGTGCACACTAGATAAATACATGTAAACAAAATGTAAGCTAAAGCAGTTATTTTGCTTTTCCATGTGAACTTTAGAATAACCTTGTCTAATTCTATAAAGTAATTTTGGTAAGATTTAGAAAGGACTCATGTTAAGCCTGTACTTCTTTTGAATATAATTGACATCTTTACTATGCTGAGTCTTGCAACCTATAAATATGGCATGTCTCAGCTTTTAGATTTAGATTTTCTTCCCCCTTCGTGAATTTTGCAGTGCTGCGGATTGAAGTTTATGCCTGCTTTATACATGCAAGAGCAAACACTATACCACAGAGCTACAGCTTTGGCCATGGCCACGTTTACTTTATTTTGAGACAGAATATTTCTAGGTTACCCAAGCAGGCCTTAGCTTCAATCCTCCTGCCTCAGCCTCCCACATACCTGGGATTACAGGTGTGAGCCACCATATGCAGCTATGTTTTTATCTTCTTCATTAACATTTTGTAACATGTAGCAATGTAAGATGTAGCAATTCAAAATGTGTATGCTTCAAGCGTCAGTATCTTGGAATACATGAAGAAAAACTGATCTGGTTGTACAGGAAATAGAAGATCCATCACTAAGGCTAGGAAGGTAGCCCAGCAGTAGAGTTGCTTGCCTAACATGTGTAAAGTCTTGATTCAACCCTCATTTCAGCAAAGGAAAAAAGCATGATTAGAGTTAGAAACTTCATCATCCCTTTCTCATCAACCAGTTTAGTAGACAGAAAAGAGCTAGGATATAGAAGAGCTCAACAGTACTACCGATTATTAGGCTTTAACTGACATTTATAGGCTACTCCAAACAACACCAGAATACACATATTTTTGAGTACTAAAGGAACATATACCAAGATAGGACCATATGCTCAGCCATAAAACTAATCTCAACCAGCTGAAAATAATTGAAAGTACATAGAATGTATTTTGTAACCAAAATAGTATCAAGATAGAAATTATAAACCTCTTGCAAAAGAAAACTTCAGGCCCACATAGCTTCACTGGATGATTCTAATTCTGCTGAAATGAAGAATTAATACCAAATCTATATTATCTTTTGCAGAAAATAGAAAAGAAAATGTTGGTTGTTGCTGCTGCTGTTGTTTGTGCTTTTTGAGGCCAATGCCCTGTCTCAGTCTGTGAGAGAGAGACTGAGACGTGTGTACGTGGCCATGTGTGTGAGTGCAGGCACATGTGCCACAGCACACATCTGAAGGTCAAGGGGCATCTTATTTGAGACAGGGTCTCTGTTCATGACTGCATATGCCAGGCTAGCTGGCCTTTGAGTTTCCAGGAATCCTGTCTCCACCTTCCACCTCAAGTAGGAGCCTTGGGATTACAGATGTATGCTATGTAGACTCTGGGGATACGAACTGAATTCTCAAGACTGTGCTAAGTAAGTGTCTTACATGCTGTGCCTTCTATCTAGCCCAAGGACACGTTTTACTATGTAGTCCTGGCTGTCGTAGAACTCTCTATGTACTCTAGACTGACCTGGAATTTGTGGTAGTCCTCTCGCCTCTGCCTCATGAGAGTTTACGTTACAGGCATATGCCACTGTATCTCCCTGCCTCAACTTAACAGGGGAAAATGTTTTTTTAAAAGTTTTGCTATTTGATACTGAATGATGAAATGGACTGTTTTCCCTCAAGGCTCCAGAGCAAGGCAAGGATGTCTAATCTTCCCACTCTTATTCAAGATAGTACTGGAATTCCTAGCCAGTACAATAAGACAAGAAAAGGAAATTTTAAAGATAAGAAAGGGAAAAATAACATTATTTCTATTTAATTATCAAATGACTTATATCAAAAATCTAAAGGAATTTGTCAAGAAAATACCTAGACCCTCCCCCATGGGGAGCGAAGTGGGGATTGGGTGGGTTTTGGGGGGATTGGAGGAGGGGAGGAAGAGGGAGCTGGGATTGACATGTGAAACAAGCTTGTTTCTAATTTAAATTAAAAAATCAAAAAAAGAAAATACCCAGAACAATAAAAAATATAACTCCATTCAGTCATTTATAAAACAAGAAGTACTGAGCCAACCATGGTGGCTCACCCTTGTAATCCCAGATACTGAGGCAGTTTGAGGCAAATAATCTACCACTGAGTGAACTATAGCTCCAGAACTTTTTTTCACTCTTTATTGAGGTAGGGTCTGTATTAGTCAGAGTTCTCTAAAGGATCAGAGCTTAGCTTATAGAATCAAACACACACACACACACACGTATATATGTATGTATGAAGGGAGTTTATTAGAGTGGTTTACAAGCTGTGGTACAACTAGTCCCTCAGTGACTGTCTAGCAATGGAAGGTCCAAGAATCCAGTAGTTGTTGAGTTCATGAGATCGGATGTCTTGGCCAGTATTCCGTGTCCTCCAGATTCCTGAAAAAGTAGGCTCTAAAGCCAGTGAAGAAATGAACTTTCTAGGGAGAGAGAACAGGCAGGCGAAGAGATGGAGCCTCCTTCTTCCATGCCCTTTGTATAGGCTGCCAGCAGAAGATGTGATCCAGATAAAAGTGGGATCTTTGTACCTCAAATGATCTGGATTAAAGGTGGACTTTCCTATCATCCCACCTTAAATATATAGACTAGAAATGGATATTAATGGATCTTCGCATTTCAAATTATTTAATTAAGAAAAAACCGTCACTAGTGTGCCCATCCACTTGGGTTTTAGTTATTTCCAGGTGTAGCTAAGTTGACAATGAAGAATAGCCATCACAGGGTCATATTAAATTGCCCAAACTAAACTTGAACTTCCTATGTAGCCCAAGCAAGCCTTGAATTTACAATCCTCCTGTCTTGGCCTACACCAGTGCTGGAATTATAGACTAGACTGACCTGGAGTTTGTTGTAATACTGACCTATGCCACCAAGGCCTATCTTCTACTGAAATATTTTTAGGTCTAATTCCCTAAAAAAATAATGTAATCAAACTCACAGCCTTCCTGTCTCAGGCTCCTCAGTGCTGGGGTTACAGGCCTGCACCACATTTGCTCCTGCTCTTTACTACTGATGTAGTAGTAAGTAGGTCTCCTTAGTACTCAACACAAGTGGAAGAGGAGGCAAGATACTGCTAGGCTAATTTTCTATTTCAACTTTTCCTTCCTCAGTAAGTATACATTAGGTGTTAAGCTGTGCCAAAAGCTGCCCTAGTTATGTGGACTAGGAAAAATAAAAACTTTGCCTCTCATAGAGCTTCTATTCTACTGAAACGGATACACTAAGAGCAAACAAGCACATATCTAGTGTTGATTACTGGTTAATTCAAAGGAACACCATTATAGACAGTGCTCACTAAAAGTCTTTCTGAGGAAATGGTATTTGAGAATCGCAGAGTTTAATGAAGTGAGGGAAATTTTACAAAGTGAGGTGAAGAATATTCTAGGTGAAAGGAAAAGCAGATCCATGGAAGGGGTGGTTTTAGTGTGTTTATTGTATACGTTCTAGTATATATTAAAAGTACAGATATCACATGATACTTCTTTAAGTTAAAAGCATTTTAGTATGGCCGGGCTGTGGTTGCACACCTTTAATCTCAGAGCTTGGCAGGCAGAGGCAGGAGGATCTCTGTGAGTTCAAGGCCAGCCTAGTTGTCAGTCTTGGCGACAGGTACCTTTACTTGCTGAGCTTTTGAATTTCATAGGTATTATTCCTTGTGATGAATCTATTTTAAAATAAGTTTATATAAGAAAGGTTTCTATTGTGGTATGTAAATAGGGTAAAACTCTTGGCAGTGTTGAAGTTTGAGAAGAACAACTGTCTCTGGAGTATTTATTTGTCCCATTCAGTAGGTGAGAAAACCAAGGCTTTCAGAGGTTAATCGCCTTGTACAAGGCCACACAAGAGGAAAGTAGGGGGATAAGATTCCACCTTGAAAGATGAGGATTCTGCCCAAAGTTAGAGGAGGAAATAGTCATTTTTTTCTTGTGCCTGGTGAAGCTGACTATCGCACAAAACGAATAAAAAATTTTTTCAAGAGCAGCCGGCAGCCCCAATATGTTTAAACATTTTTGTGTTTGTTTTCCCAAAGCACATGCCTAAAGCAGTGATACTGCACTCATCTTCCTCCAGCTCCTAGTGCTAAAATGATCGAGGAGCAAAAGGAAGGTACGCAGTTATTAGAGAAAATAAGGTAAGCCTCTCAGGGTTCTGGAATGTCTAACTGTTGACAACTTTTGGTCTCCTTGGGCTCTTTAACCATCTGAGGTGGGGAGCTGTCTAGAGCCCAGCACCAAGTCCAGCAGCACTGAGGGGTCATTTGATTGCAGAGTTAGCCGGCCCTGCCCAGGTGCAACTGCTACAGGATTCTCTGCAAAGTTGCAGCAGACTCCACAGACAGACAGCTCCACACACTCCTCCACTTTACCTGGATGGGGACATTCCCACAACACAGTCACCAAAATGTCTCAACCTTTTGGCAACAGGAAGCATCTTTATGGCTCCTGCTTTGCCACATCCTTCTGCCCCTTTGCAGCTCCAAGCATGTTTTGGAGGGGGATTTCATAAAGATTTCTAAATTGAGTTAGAATTTCAAGTCTATTGTGACATGCAAATTAGTCCTGCTTGCCCGTTGGCAGCAAAGCAGCTGAAGTGCCTAGAGACGGGCCATAAAATGAAAACATCAAAGTGATTAAATGTGCCCGAAGAGCATAATTGAGTGCATGAATAAGAGAAAATAAAACAAATTGATTTTCTCCAGTGCCAGAAAAACAGAATAATTGAGAACAAAATAATAGACTTTGAAGTAATCAAAGTGAGGGATGCACCATAGTGACACAGAAACAGCCAGTTGTGGGAAAGATT